TGCAGATCCCCATACTTTTCCTCATCGTCAAGGGGGGGCAAGTTGAGGCCTGCTTCCCCGTGTGGCAAGCAGAGGATGCCACTCGCTGGTCTGAGAACTGGGAGAGGAGAGAGCTTCTGCCTGGGATAGCTTATCGCTAGCCATCCCATAATCTCCCCCACAATGTACCCGATTTACTAATTTCACAATGTCCTGTAAGGCTCTTAGCTGGTGCAGCAGAAATGATGGCATGTGTTACACGAGGAAGCCAAAACAGCCCCTTTCTCCCCCCCCCCTCCAGGCATGCCACTCCCCCTTCCGGTGTTTCTTCCATCACCTACCCTGAAACAAAACCTCGTTGTCCGGTTGGCACTTCAGATGACACTACAATGAGGTGACTGTGAACGTGTCCTCGGGATGTTGTTCTAGCATTGGACCCAAAAACCCACTCTTCTGGGCTCCAGCCATGATGGGATGCCCTTGCGGTGCAAAGCTGGGGTACCTGTAGTTGTCCTGCAGTGGCAGCATAGAGTCTCTCAGGACTGGGGAGATATTCAAGTCATTCATCAAGGGGCAAAGGTAGGCCCCTCGGTGGTGAGCCCTGGCCATGTCCATGGGTTCTTTCTCGCTCTTAGAAGGGTTGCTGCCAGGGGGGCTAGTCAGATGGGGGTTGAGGCAGGAAGTATCTGGGCTCCTCCCCATGAAGTCCATGAGCATCCCGACCCCAGCTTTGTTGTCATAGGGGGGGCTGCGGGTGTTGGAGGTGGGGGAGTACCAATAGCCTGGGTTTTTGCAACTGGGGGAGTCATAGTGTGGCTGGGACATGGGCAGGTCCCGGCAGGTCATATGCACAGCTGAATGGGACATGCTGCCAGCCCCTTGCATGCTGTGTTTGAGTGAGTCGCAGGCTGGAAGCTTCCGGATGTCGCTGGACCGCAAGTCCTCTTTAAAGGCCAAGGTTGGGGAGCAGTTGGGCGAGAAAGCTTTTTGCAAGCCTGTTTCAAACACAGTCTGTTGAGGGGGCGGGGCAGCCAACTGGTGAGGGATGCTAGGGAAATGTTTGCTCTCCAGGTCTGGTTGCCCGAGTCCAGGGGAGTCACTCTGGAACCCTTGCCCAAAGGTGCCATCGGAAGGAGTGGAGGGATTCATGGAGTAAGGCCCTGCGTAGTCACATGGGTCTCTTTCACTGAGCCCAAAGCCCCGGGACTGGGAGGGCAGAGGGGACATACTACTGTCTCCACTGTAGTAATCCAGGCCAAGGTCAGTACTGTCTTGGAACAGGGGGTTCACTGGCTGGGATTTGGCAGGGAACTTGGTTTTCCCTGTGCCTCTCTCCTTTTTGGAGGCACAGGCTCCCCGGGAGCCCCGGGGCTGCCTGGCCCCCGTGCCCCGTTTGGAGGGATATGCAGACGTCGTGAAATTCAGATGGGCAGCATCGAATATGTCCACTTTCTTCCGCCTTCCCCGTCCCGGCTTGGAGCTGCTCTGGAACAAGACGCTCTGGTTCCAGTTGTAACCTGGGGCAGAGGACGACTCATTCCAGTCCATCATGAGCTTCTCCAGGCTAGAGAGGCTGGACTGACCTTCGCTAGACGAGGCCTCACTGTTGGCTCTTCTGTAGCCGGCAGGCTGGTTGAACTGGGTGCTGTCCGAGGAGGACTCAGAGAACGTCTCAGACACCGTTTGCTGCTTGGCTTTCTGAGGCGTGTAGTTGGAGATGTCCAGAATGACGTTGGGCTCGTTGATATGGCAGTCAAAGCCTGGGTTATAGAGCTGGCTGAAGGCATCGGAGCTCCAGTCCAGGCTGCCGTAGCCTTGTCGGAAAGCCCACTGGGAGGCACTGGGGAACTGCCGACAATTCTCGGGCGAAGGCTGGAACGAGGCCGAACCTTTGGGAACCATGTAGCCGCCGGGGGACACAGTGCTGGCCCGGCTATCGCACCTCATGGGCGTGTGAGAGGAGCTAGAGAACTGGCCGGGATCTGAACTGCTGAAGAAGGAGGCCTTACTCAAGGGCAAGCTAGGTCCTGATGTCTGTTGGGCGTAGCTGACACTGTGGGCACTGCTGGGCGACGAGGGCAGGCTGTTGCCACCGCCGTAGCTGAAGCTGCAGTCTTTGTTGTTCGAGCAGTCCTGTGTGGCATGGTATGGCTTCCCTTGCTGGAATAGGCTGGAGGAGGTCACATTCTGCCCTCCACTGCTGCTGCTGTAGCTGCCGTACTGTGCATAGCTGGAGGCAGCCGAGGAGTGAGCCGTGGGTGACCTGGAGACAGCTGAGAGTGTTGCCAGCTTTTGGAAGGCGTCTGTGCCACGGCACTCCGAAGGAGCCTGAGACATGTTGTATCCTGCTGCTCTGCTGGGAGGGAACGACTGCCGGCTCGGCATGACATTATGGAAGGGCGCCTCAGTAGTCACGGTAGTGGTGGTGGAGGCAGGTGTCACTTTGCCTCCCCGGCTCGGGTAGGATGCCATGCCCCTCTGGGTAGCTATGGCATTGGGAGGGGCTGTGTAGGTGGTAGTGGCTTTCCGAGACTCAGAGCGTGTGTTTGAGAGAGCAAAGTCCAGCAGATCAGAGGAGTCGTCTGAGTCTAGCAGGGAGCGGAAGTAGCCAGTGAAAAGACTGTGTCTCTCCTGGCTTAACTCGGATTGCGATGATGGATTGCTGCCACTGTAAAAGCCACTCCTGCTGGAAGAACTGGTCTCCACTGTGGAAGAATGGAAGGTTCGAGAGTCAGCACCTTGGTAACTGCAGTTCCTGTTCGTCTGGCCGGACAGGGGCCCATGGTGGGGCATCCAAGGGCTCTCCTTGTCTCCACTCCATTCGGAGACCCCATCGTTGAAGTTCTGTCCAAGGTTCTGCTCTGGAAACAACACCCCGTTCTTGCGGGACCGCCTCTTCCTCTTGGGCTTGTCCATGGAGTCCGGTTCTTGTCGGCCTCGTTTCCGTGGGTGCACAGGGTCAGCGTGCATGGCTGCCACTGGGGTTGCCTTCTTCTTCTTGCCGATACCTTCAAAAAAGTCACTAAAGGAGCAGCGAGATGAGCGGGCAGAGTGCCCCCCTCCGCGACCAAACCCACCCCCTTTGCCACCACGCCGGCGGAAACCCTGGACCCGGTGCAAGAAGTGGGAGATGCTTTGAGTGTCGGGGGCCTGGTGGATGGAGTCTGGTTCACTCGGGGTCCAGCAGCGTGGTGGGGAACAACGTGCGGAGCACTGGCTCTGACGGTTTAGAAAGGCCAGCTTTGCCAGGACATCGGAGTAGTCGGCTTTACTGTCGTTGGTGTCGGCGACGTAAGAGGGTTGTGGCGATGCCAGTTTCTGCTTCCTCCTCCTCCGTTTCTTCGCCTCCGGGGTGGGCTCCTTGGGTTTGCAGGGCCCCAACATCAGATTTTTAGGGGGCCTCCCCCGCTTCCGCTTTAGGATAATTGGCATCTCACCAGGAGGGAAGACCACTACGACATTACGGCCATTGTTCTTCATCTTCAAGAGTGGGGTAGGTTCCATTGAGGGGTACGACGTCAGCTCTTTGCCTTCCAAGTTCAAGTTGCTGCTCAGAGAGGACACTTTGTATGTTGTCTTGTTCCGCCTCCCAAGGGAAACTGGGATCTTGGCCATCTTCACCACCATCCTGCGCACGCCACGGCATTTGGGCTTCGGAGCTGGTGGGTTGGCCGGAGCCTTCTGACTATCCTCTAGGTCCAAGGCGGAGAGGAGGGGATCCACTTCTTCATCTGCTGGCACAGCCGCCACGGGCAGGCTCACTTCCTCCGGCTGGGCCACAACCACTTCCACTGGTGCAGCTGTGGGGAGGACCCTGGTCTCAGCTACAATCTCCGCCCGCCGCCCCCGGCCTCCCCTCCTCCGGCGGCAGAGAATCTTTGGTTTATCTGTTCTGCGTAGAGCATACTTCCTGTGATCATCCCTGCCCCGCCCTGCCCCTCGCCTTACTACTCCTCTCACAGAACAGCTGAGGTGGGACTGGGGTTGTGGCGGGTGTGTCCCTAAGGACTCATCTGTCCCCAGATGTGGCTGGGAGTCTAACAACTTGGGAAGGGGGCCTAGCAGCTGAGCCTCAGAATCCAGGAGGTGGGCTTGGGAGTCAAGCAGCTGGTGATCCAGGGCCCCTAAAGACTGTAGCCCTAACGGCTCAGAAAGGGGCTCCAGGGATTGGAGAGAAAGTGATTCGGACAATGGTTCTAGGGCCTGCAGCTCCAGAGGCTCTAGAGTCTGCAGCCCAATTGGTTCAGGCAGTGGATCCACAGTCTGCAAGGCCAGAGTCTCTGGAGGAGGTTCTAGAGACTTGGAATCTACTAGCTGAGGCTGGTGTTCCGGAGACTGTGAACAGATTACCTGGGATTTCGTGTCTAGTCCCTGTCTTTCTAGCAACTGGGAGTGGGGCTCTGGATGCTGATGATCTAGCAGCTGAGGGCCCGGGCAGGCCAGAGAAGCCAGCTCACTCAAGATATCTGTGTCGGCAAGCTCGGTATAATCGGTGGTATCAGATTCTGAGCTGCTGCTTTCGTCTGGGCTGCTGGGTACCTTCAAAGCAGGGCTGCTCTGGCAAGCTGAGTACTGGGTACTCTGATCGTCCCCCTCTGCCTTTTCTGCATAGAGGCCAGGTTGGCTCTCCTTGGGCAGCTCAGCTTTGGTGCAGCCCTGCGCCACTTGCTCCTCTGGACTACGGATGCTGTTGGCCAGCACAGGCGAGGAGTAGAAACTGTACTGCAGTCCCTGGTCCCTGCTCTCCTCGTTGGGTGGTGGGTGGCTATCAAACTGTAGTCCGCTGCAGTCCAGATGAACACCGCAGCTCTTCAGGTCCTCGGAGAGACGGTTGATGTCCTTCATGATATCAATGAGCTGCACCACAGGGTAGAGGTTGATGCGCCCGTTGCCGCACTTGCTCTTGAGCAGGGAGATGATATTGTCGATGTTGCACCTGCCCGAGGCCAAGGTAGCATTGGAGAAGGTCTTGGCAGCTCTGTCCTGTGTGGCTGTCTCATCCAGGTCCCAGGCAATACCAGGGCAGTCCAGAGCACTAGCTGGCTGCAAGTCATCTGTCTTGACGTTGCTCTGGCTGTGGGGGCTCTTGTACCGGTCAACCGTCTCAGCGTGACGAAGTGAACCAGACTTGTGGTCCCGGCCTAATGATGAGCAAGAACCCTCTGGGAAGCTGAGCATGCTGAACGACAAGGCCTTCTCTGCCTTCTGACCAGGATGCCCTGCCTGGTAGAACTTTGGCTCTCGGGAGTAATCAGAAGAGCTGTGGAGGGTGCCTCCTAAGGATGGGACCTGGGATTTCAGGCGTCTCCTTAATTCATCTTCACCAGCATGCCTCTTCACAGAGCAGTTGCTGGTATGAGCATCTGCAAACACGGAACTTTGAGCTGGAAGAGACAAAGAGGAGATGGTAAGCTTCAGGGTGGGTACTGCACATGAGAACACAAGAAAAGCCCTGCTGGATTTTATTTTATTTAGATTATTTATAGTTTGCCTTTCTCACTGGGACTCAAGGCGGAGTGAGTCAATACAATCAGCAGGATGGGACATTCAATAAACAATGAAATAGGATTTGGGTTGCAAGACCCACCAGAAATATAAGAATGGAACTGGGGCAAAGCAAATTGTTAGTATGACTCATTAAATGAAGCAAAATTACACAGTAGGATCCAGCTTACAACAAACTATACACAGTAACATAGACCACAGTCTCCAATAATTTATCCAAGTAACTTTGTGAATCAATTAGTACAGTGCAACTCTATTGCCTGTGTAAAAAAGCCCCCTTGAATAATTCAATTTTGCATAGTTTGCAGAAAGCCAGGGGAGTGAGGTAGGTTATTCCACAATGTGGAGGCCACAAAAGAGAAGGCGCGTGTATGGGCAGTTGTTGACTTTGCCCATTTGCAGGCTGGCACCTGTAGAAAGTCCTGCTCAGATGAGTGAAGCTGTTGTGGTAGAGCATAGGGGGGAGATGGTCTTGCAGATATGAGGATCCAAGGATAAGAAGGGCTTTGGATGTGACAGACAATACTTGATGCAGGGACACTGCCTAAAAGGGCATCCCTGCACCAAGTTCCCCCTTCCTCTGAAATGAGCAGAAAAACCTGATCCCATGTTGTGATATCACTGTATTGTGCTTCTCTGACCCTAATCGTGGCAACCAATGACGTATTGCAAAGGCAGGGAAAGAAACAAGAGGTCTTTGATATCAGAACACAGGTAAGAGCTGCTGTGGAGGGGAAGGTACCAAAAATGGCATCCCTTTCCACTATAACATATAGGAACTAGACAGGGAGGATGCTGTTTTTGGTTTCACACCCCTGTTGCATGCAATAGGTAGTTCAAGATATACATGGAGAGGATAGTAATCAATGCTCCCTCTAAGCTGTGGAGTCTTGTGAGCAAAAAAAATCTACTTTGTGAGCGACTGGCATTAAAGTTGTGAGCAAGCGATTTGGCTACTGCATAAATTAGTTTGCTCCGGAGCCATCCTTTTTTGAGCCAAGACAAAAATGTGTGGGCTGGAGGCAAAAAACCTGAGCTACCTCACACTAACTCAGCTTAGAGGGAACACTGATGGTAATAGGCTATTTTTAAAATGTATTTTATATTCGCCAAGGTAATATATCCCTGGTTGGTGAAGGTTTTGCTGGAAGGAGACCTCACAGCAATTCTTTGGCCAGCAACTAGAGCCAGGCTGTCTTTCCTCTCACGTCTTCAGTCACAGGGAGGACAAACGTGTTTGGGTCTAAGATGTCACAGTCCAGAGGCCTTTTCATTTGCTGTCATTTCCCCCAGGGAGGACTTGTGCAGCAATCCCCAAACAACCCAAGCAAGAGCTTGTGCAGAGGACTCCTTGTAGCCCCCACACTCTAATATTTCCCACTCCTCAAACAGTTCAATATATCTGCTGGGAAACCTGGAAGTCTCACACCAACAAGGGAAACCAACACACAGACATGTAGCCGGAACAACAGTGTTGCACCAGTGCCTGCAACACCCCAGCAAAGCATGCCAACCCCTCACCTCTCTCCTTCAACTCCCTGCCCCCATGGTCTTTAAAGGTTTCATGCCTCATGTTTCCAGCCCTAAGAATAGGGCTGCCACTTACCCACGAGGGGTGGAGGAATTCCTGCCCTCTCTTGCCCACCCTCACTCCAGCAAGTGGCAAAGGGGAAAATGCAGGGGCCAGAATGGTATCCTGCAATGTCATAACTAGAAATGACACCATCGTGTTGCAGGATTCACTAGAATCCTAGAGCATCTGGTTACAGTTATGTAGGCAGAAATGACACCTCACAGGACACTGTCCCGGTGAGTCTCTGCCCCCCCCCCCAGTCTTCTAACTAGGAAGCACGTCTCCTACAATATTTATTCCCTAAAATACTTATGCATCACCTTTCGCCCCAAACTCAGGTTTGCTCATTGAAAAATACCTGACCTGTAGGTAACAGACAATTTTTTTAAAGTTACACCAGATATCAAATGCCTGCCTGAAAAGGATGGCAACACGTTTCTCATGAAAAACAGATTGTGTAGGGGCCCTCCCCACTTCTTCGAGGCATATGTTCCGCATAATGCTGGAGCTGCCATCAAAAAGGAGCTCCTCCATGCTGTGGCCAACTGGACACCTTGAAAGGAGAGCTCAACTGAGAGGAGGCTGCCCTGGGAGGATCCGAGGTAGTCAACAAGCTCGTAACTGGAAAATGCGACAAAACCTGCCAAAAAAACAAACTCAAGTGACAGAGGTCTCGAACTGGTTTCCGAGTAGGACTGAACCAGGGCACCACCACCAAGCTCTGGCCCAAAGAGGGAACAGCAAGGAGACCAGAAAAGCCAGCCAAAGAAGCTTCTTTATACTTATAGGCCAAAGCGGATCAGCTGATAGTGTCTGACGGTCTATAAAAGGGTCCTGCGTCAGGTTTGCTCACTGGTTGGTGTGATTTGGAGATTTGCCCTTTCTAGCTACAGGAGCTGTGGTGGCTCAAGTGGTTAAGACGCTGAACTGCAGGCTGTGGAAGTTCAATAGTTCAGCAGTTCGAGACCCGAGTTGCCGCATGATAGAGTGGGCTCCCGTCTCTAGTTCCAGCTCCTGCCAACCTAGCAGTTCGAAAGCAAGAAATTGCAAGTAGATAAATAGGTACCACTTCGGTGGGAAGGTAACAGCGTTCCGTGCACCTTGGTGTTTAGTCATGCTGGCCACGTGACACGGAAATGTCTTCAGACAGCATTGGCTCTTCGGCTTTGCAACGGAGATGAGCACTGCAACCCTAGAGTCGGACTCAACTGGCTTTCGAGCAAGAGAACCTTTACCTTTCTAGCTACACACTGTCCTTACTCTGCCTTCAGCTTCAAGGGGAGGATGGATCCAATAAGGCTTTTAGCTCCAGTCCCTTTCATTATGTGGTGCTTGGGATCACGCTTGATGTGGCTCATGCAAGTAACACTAGGAGACAGAGACATGCTGATCCGCTTGGGAAAAGGACATCGCCTTGCAATCAGTCCAAAAGCACCCCCACCTGTCTTCAAGACTCATGCCGTGTCCTTTATCAATGTCAGCCAGAGTCCTGCCATGAGGCAAGGTGAAGCAGCTGCATCAGGAGATAGGTTATGGATGGACCACAAAGTGTGAGGTGGGCAGATCTGCCTGGTGAGTCATAATCCAACTGGAATGCTTCTGGCTCTTGCACAATTCTTCACCATTCCAATGGGGTTTGCCACAGGAGAACCTTCTTGGTGGGTTGTGCCATATTGTGTGTGGCTGGGGGGAGGGAGGGATTTGAGTTTTCTTGCTCAGGAAGTAAAAGCCTGGGCCAGCCTGGATGCCGGCAGTATCAAATCCTGGCCATGTGTGATAGGTTTGGGGATGGTGCACCTTTATTGCCAACTGTTCTTATAGCTACTGGGTTAGATAGGTTGAAAAACAGGTTGGAAAAATTATTAGGAGGCTGTATCATTGGCAATTAGCCATTAGGACTGTATGTTTTTTGTTTAAAAGCAAACATTAAAATTATAAAAAATAAACATTCACAAGCTCACAGTCTTTCTAACGCTCATACAAGGTTCTTATATATTACCAGCTCTGCTGTTGATTTTTTAAAAGTAAAATTAACACAGTAACATGCTCTGGGAATCAGCCTTGTACACAGACCATGAACAGTGATGCCAGCATTGGATAACACATTTTCTGAAGGCATAGGTGACCCTGGGATGCACAGGCAAGCCTTGGAAGACATTATGAAGTCAGTGGTCTTAGGAGGTTGCAGTTGTGTTTAGGGTTGCCACGTCAATCATTCACAGCAATATATAAATTGTAGATAAATTCCTAGGCTTTAATTGTTTAAAATCTTTAATGTTTGACATCCCTATTAAACATAACACCCCAAATTGGACTTCTGAATTCTGAAGCTGAATGCCTTTGATTGTCAGGTGAAGGGGATCGGTTGGCAGGTGAGAGCTGTTTGCTTGTGGGCGTTTCAGCCTTTCACTGGCCACTGTGGGAAACAGGATGCTGGACAAGACGGACCACTGGTCTGAGCCAGCAGGGTTAGTCTCATGTTCTTCAGAGAAAGCTGTGCAGTTCTTTGCCCCTGCCCATTTAAAAACAGCTACATGCTACGGATGGAAGGAAAGACACCTAAAGAGTTACTTTACTGCAGAGAATGGCTGTGGGTTGACAGGAGGAGGAGCCTTACTCATCTTCACTGATTTTTTTTTTAGTTTGTTATATTTATATGCCACCATTTTGCTGCACAAGGCAAGGAGCGTACATAGAAACACAGATTCTAGCTTCTGTCAACCATACCTTAAGTTCCACGGCTAGGTGGGCCTTCCTGCTCAGATGTGCTGCAAGTGGGTAGAGAGTATGGCATATGAAGAATTAATGGGCAGGGGGAGAGACTCACCAAATGGTGCCGGCATGGAGGGGGCAGTCGAATCTGCTAGTCCCTAATCACATCACAACCACAGTCCAAAGGGTGCCCGTGTCACATAATCATACACTGCAACAGATTCATGACCGTTACTGAGTGCTACCAAGAGGGCCTGTGCTATCTTCATGTGCAAAATCATGCTGTTTGAGTGCAAGGGAACTGACGGAGGGGAGGGCGGGGTACAAATCAAATAAATAAATACATTCCCACCACTGAAAGGCAACTGATGCAGGCAGCCTAAGAAGAAATGCTCACATATTTGCACAACAAACCGGTTGTCAGAATGGAAGATGCTGCCATGGAAGAGAAGGGGAACGCCAACATTTTAAAAAGTCCTGGGTCCATAACTCACCTTCTGCTTTGCTGCTCCTGCTGTTACACTTCAGTTCTCTGTGGAGAAGGAAAGAAAGGGAGTTTAGCCTGAATAACAGAGTCTGCCCTCTTCCTGTCAGGGATCAGTCGAGTCCATCAAGAGTAACATGCCAATCTCATTCATCCTGCCTCAAGGGCAGCCAATCTGTGCAGCAGGCAAACAAGCTTTGTGGTGATAGTAATTTGCTCCTTCGCTTTCTGCTACTTCCAATCCTCATCGTATAAACCTACACTCAAGGTGGGGAAAACTGGGGTCTGTCTAACCCTGATCAAGCCAGGATTCTGGCCTCAAGTGGTGCATGGCTGCACCCAAACTAAGCCTGAGAGAGCGGGTTCTCCAATTCAGCTACTGCCCTAACCAGGCTAGGCCTTGCCAGGTTAGAGGTGTCATCCTACTAGCAATGTACAGCAGCTGAATATGCACGCTCCTCTTCTGTGTCTCAACAGAACTCTGAAACACACAGGCCAAGTGATGTGCTAGAGAAAAGCCAGCCACACACCACAAAGCTCCTGCTTCAAACTTGGAAGTCTCTGAGGTAGCTGCTCTGAGGTAGTGTTCATATGGATCTCTTTGATTTAATGGAATTGCTGGTCTCACAGCTTGCCCAGTCCCCACCCTCCTTTGCCTGCAAATTATTGGCATCACCCCTCTCCTTTCCTACTTCCACCCTCCACCTCTGCTCTTTTCACTGCTGCTAGACACCTCAGTGCAGCAAAATATTCCCCTCAGGTTATTGGGGGGGGGGGCTTAAGTGACGCTTTGAGACAGAGATAATGGAAATGGTACTACATAAACCTCAAATAAGGTTGTTCATTTGTGATATTGATGTCAACTTAGGCACTTAACATGCTAAAGGCACAGAAAAGCTTCATCAGCACTTCCTTGGTTACTCTGCTATTGCTGCGCTATACCAATCCTTCAAAACTTGCCCACGCATCCAATGATGCCCTGTTCACCAAAATGTAGGTTTCATATCCTCTGTTTCAATGCCTATCTGTGAGTGAAGCAGAGATCCCAGGATGCAACTGCATTCATTCAGAGGGTGGCTGTTATTCAGGATTCATTAACAAGGAGCCGCAAATGTGTCTCGTAACTGTGGCGCAAGTCACCTTTGGCTACAAATCCTTGTAGCCACATTTCCACTAGGTGTCCCCAATGAGCTACAGATCCTCTTTGAAGCCACCATGCCTGTTAAATGGTTAAACACCCTCCCCCCCCAATTTTTTTTCTACTTTCTGTTTAAACTTTCTGACCTGGCTGCGTTGCTCTGACAAAAAGCCTCCTTTGTACAGTTCCTTTTTTTTTTGTGCAACAGCCGAGTGCTTTCCTTGCGGAAAAGCCGGCTGAGGAAACATGCACCTGGCACCAAGGTTGAAAAATATATTGGTTACATGGTTCTGCTCCTCCCCTCACCCTGGGGCGTAGACGGAAGGACGGACGAAAGGGGAGACACAGAAAAAGAACGGCCCTTCTTTGTTTGCAACTTTATCCTTGGTAGCGGAGCCTGAAAACGAAAATTTGCCACTGTGCCCTAGATGGCAAAGGCCAGCCTCAGCCTTGAACAAACACCACTTCATGCATCCTTTTGGTAGTTTGTTCCCTGCTGAGACAGGAGAGGAGTCAGTCCCTCCACAGGCCAAAAGGAGGTCAGGCTTCAAAGAGTCCAGCCGCAGCCCTAGGCCAGCAAGGAGAAACCGTCCTTAGACTAGCCAGAATGTTCTGGATAAGCTGACTGAAGTTGAGACTGAAACACAGTGAGAGCATAGATGAGGCAGAGTATGGGCCAGCATGTGTGGGTGAGCATGTCAGCCTGGCTGAGCACTAGTATACTCGGCAGGAGAATTTATCTTTAAATAGGGTTCTTCAGTTCATTAATTATAATTTAAAATATTTATATGCCAGCCTGTCCCCTGAGCATCTCAAGACCCAAGGCATGTTAATGTAAGAACCTGTGTATAAAACAAACATTTAAAACAACAGATATAAAAGCCTAAAAACCAGCATAAAAACATCTTATGCCTCCTAACAGCTGGTATGCCTCCTCTGCCCACGTGTGCATCTACATGTGGTTGAATATTGTACTAGTGTTGAGCTATAACAAGCATTTGCAACTGGAGTTTCTGGGTGCGGACAAGACAACAAATGGTACGTGCAGGGCTCTAGTCGGGGGGGGAGCTCTCAGGTACGGAGCTCCGGAAGAGAACCTCTAGGGGGCGGGGCGGTCACGTGGTGAAGCCCCGCCCCCTTCTTTACCCCGCCCTCTGCTTCGATCCTCATTCCGTTTGGGAATGAGGATGAAGCAGGAGGGTAAGTAGCCGGGCCTTCTGACACACTTCCGGTGATGTCAGGGGGTGTGGCCTTCTGTCACTTCCGGTGATGTCAGGGGGCGTGGCATATGCAAATAAGTTATGCTAATGAGTTATGCTAATGAGCTCCGGCAGCTCTTTTTCTACAACAAGACCCCTGGGTACGTGGATGCAAATGGTATGGGGATCCACCCCAAGTTTCAGTTCTTGTTTAGGTAGGAAACTTAGAGATGTGAAGGTATGGGGAAAAAACTGGAAAACTTCAGGAAAAAACCTTTTCACCCCCTCAGGACACACACACACACACACACACACACACACACACACCATTTTTCCAATCAAAAAGTTAGGAAACTTTGGGGAGCATGGGGAACAAAAAACTTCTATGATATGTTATATTTCCTGGAATGGGTTAAATGTTTTTAAGAAGGTTTTCCTCATTCAAAATTGTTGTAGGAACATTTTAATGTATGACAACCCACAGTATTAGACAATAATAATTCCTGTGCATACTGCAGACATATACAACATGTTTTCAAGGATATGTTTATTGAATAAATGTGAATAATTATGGCAAAAATTAATATGCAGTAATGTGTTTGATAATAACATATCAGCATTAATTTTTTTCAGTGTTATAAAGTTTAACTGGATATCCAAATATGTTGGTAGTCCTATTGTGAGACTGTTTCTGTTAATTTCAGCTTTCCCCCCCTCCCTCTCAATTTGCAAAACTTAAGATACATGTGCTAAGGTAGCTTAGGGAGCAGCAGTTTGCAGGTCTCTCCCAAGTAATGGGTACATTTGTCATTTTGCTTGCAGAAAATTAAAGCTTTGATACTTAGTTTCTCTGATTATACAACTCTGATATTATATATTTTTTTCAACAGATCTGAATTTTTTTCTCAGCTCAATTCAAAGACTGAAGGCCAACTGTGGCCTTTAATGCCCTAAACAATTTCAGACATAAATGCCTGCTTCTGCCCACCTGCGCACTTGGCTCTTTAGGTGGGCATCTGGTCTGTTCTCAATTTAGGTGAGTACCTGGTCTGTTCCATACTGGGTCAGGTAAGCACCTTATTTCACTCTAAGGGTGCGTTCAGACGGGGCGTTTCAGCCGGCATAAATTGTACTGGTTGGAACTGGTGCAGTTTATGCCGGCTGAAACGCGATCACACTTACCTCCTGTCTGCGGAGCCCATCGCTGTATGCCCATTCACACAGAGCAGTCATTGGCGGGTTTTTTTTTAAACACAGTTTACGCATGCGCATAGGCAGCCATCCACAGAATGGCAATCTTCACGCATGCGCAAAACACCCCGTCTTACATTTAAAGTTTAAAGGTAAGGACTTACCTTTAAAGTTTAAAGAGCAAAGTGGCCTCCCTGAGGTCCCGGACTCCTCTAAAAGTTAAACTATGGACCTTTTCTTTTCTTTTTTAAACAAACGCCGGGGCGAAACTTCGCCCAAGTGCATATCGCCGACCTAAAAAAAAATGGTGGGCGAAAATCAGAAGCCTCGGGCTTCCGAACGGAAGTGGCTCTACAACGTTGGAGAGCGATCAGACGGGGGGTAAAGCGATTACAACCGTTGCACTCAGGATACCACCACTTGGGGACCTAGTGGCAGAATACAACGGTTTAAAGCTCTTTGCAACGGTTAGGGACGGAAGGCAGATGTTCGCCATGTGAACGCCGGTAAGTACGCTGATTCCAACTGGCACCTATACCATTGCAAATGCCCCGTCTGAACGCACTCTAAGATACTAATAAACGACTGACTGGTTATGAAAGTAGAAAGCCAGCAGGGGAGCAGGGACTATCCAGTGTTTTGCAGAGAGTGCCAGAGTGCCACTGGGCAGATATCATGGGTATGCACTCGCTGCATGGAGCTCTTGGCTTTCTGGGAGCAGGTTCATTCCCTTGAGGCTAGGGCTGCCAACCTGGAGAAGCTGAGGAAGAGAGAGAGGTTTGGGGAAGAGACCTTCAGGGACTTACCAGAACAGTCCCACTCCTGTGCTGACAGATCTTCTACTGTTGTGGAGAGTGAGAGTCTTGAGATCAGAGGGTGTCAGTCTGAGGAGGAGGGATGTGATTACTTAGAAACGACCCCTTCCTCGCATGACAGACCAAAATCCTCTCATACCAAGGATAGCCCTCTGGGGTTGGGGGAAGGTAGGCTTTTGGTAGTGGGCGATTTGATCTAGGTGAGGGTTCCTGGAGAGGGAAATGCATTATAGAAGTGCTAGAAGTCTCCAAGCCAAGATGGGGAAGCTGGAGTGTTTGGTGCTCAATGGCAATTTAGAGATAGTAGGTATCTAAGAAACATGGTGGAATAGGGAAAATCTATGGGATACAGTCACTCCTGGGTATAAGCAGAGGTCATTTCGGGGGGGATCGCAGGGGATCGCAGTTCCCCCGGGTGAGGTAGGGGGGGACACATGACGAAGCCCCGCCTCCTGCTTCCGGCCGCCCCGCTTCCGGCCCTCATTCAGCCAGGAGGAGGCAGGAGAAGAGGGAGGGTAAGTTGCTTCCTCCCTGCCTCTCCCCACCCCTGCCTGCCTGGGGCCAGGGAGGGCCTTCGCGGGGCTTCCTCGCACTCCCGCCGGCCTTGCAGGTCCACCGCCGGTCCCCTCATGGCCGGGACCGTTGGGGGCGGGCTGTGTGGCCTTATGACACACTTCCGGTGATGTCAGGGGGTGTGGCCTTATG